CTCATTTATCTGTCTTCTGCTCTTCTCTAGGGCTCTCTTATTCTCTTATTTGTGACATGTGTCTTATGGGATCGAAGATGGAACGGTGAGGGAGGGAGAGAGATGGAAAAAATAGAACTGTTTCTTCTTGCTCATCGATGATTATTCAGGAGGTTTGGTCCACTGGGCTCAGGGCCATCTGCATCTCACGTCCAGCAAGAGAGGCAGGAGGAGCTGACTTGGGGGGGAGGGGAAGGCATGCCTGGGAGGTGGGGGAGAGCCTCTGGGGGGATCTTAGGGACCTGGGGCAGTGCTGAAGGTTCTGCAGTGACTTCCAGCTGTTTTGGGGACCAAGCTCTTCTTCTGAGACTCTATGTGCCAACACATGCACCTTCTCAGTGTGCCATGACTGTATCCTAGGTAGATGGCATGTCCTGGGGTTGTGCAGCATGGGAGCCCTGACATGCACCACCACTCACGCTCCAGCTGCAGCAGGCATCTCTCTGTGGGTCTGCCATTCCTGCCGCCATGTGGTTGAGCTTTATGCCTGGAATGGCCTTTCATATCTCCTATCAAAACTTGCCTTCTAATATTTATGTCATCCTGGAACTCCAAACTCATTCAGGAAGTGATTTTATATATCTAAAAGGTATTTATGGCCCAACTTTACCCAGATAAATGACCATCTTGGTGGTTGGGGCAGACGCTGCTGGTTGCCTAGCCAACAGACCTCTCTGCACTCCGAATCCTTTCTTGATGGTAGAGCTAGCTTTCTGCTATAAATGCTAATGTCACATACTCACTTTGCCAATCAGATCTAAGAGGAAATGTGCAAGGAGGTTTCTGAGAAACATTTTCCTCCTTGATAAAAAGAAACACATGGGGGGCGCTTGCGTGGCTCATTTGGTTAGGCGCCCGACTCTTGATTTTGGCTCAGGTCATGATCTTGTGGTTCGTGGGTTCGAGCCCCATGTTGGACTCTGTGCTGACAGTGCAGAGCCTGCTTGGGATTCTTTCCCTCTCTTTCTGCCCTCCCCAACTCATGTTCTCTCTCTCTCTCTCTTTTTAAAAATAAATAAATAAACTTAAAAAAAAAGAGAGAGACACACGAAAGGAAGATGTGCCCTCTTTTTATTATGAATACGGTCATGTGAGGATTTGATGCCTGGAACCACAGCAGTCACCTTGGGACCATGAGGAGATGAGCCGAAAGAAAATTGATAGTGATGGAAGAGGAGAAGGCAAGAAAGAACCTTGTTCTTTGATGACACTGTGGGATCACTAAATAGACCTTTGAACTTCCAAGCTTCCATAACTTGTTAGGTTAGGTAATACATGCCCTTCTTGATTAACCTTTGTTGGGTTTTCTGTTACATGCAGCCCACAGCATCGTAACTAATTGTATATATATATTCACCCTGCCACCTACTGTCCTGTGCACATAGAGCAGCTGTGTGGTCTGGGGAAAGAAGCACTGGGTTAGGAGTCTAGCTCTTTTGTTACCTTCTCGAGGTGAGTCAGGGATCGGTGGGAAAAGTTCAGAGGGTCAGGGTGGACCCTGGTTCCTGATAAGAACTGGAATGGGTTCAGAAGCGAGGCAGCAGGGCACAAGGTCATTCTCAGTGCACGAGGCAGAGAGGGTACAGCCTCACCCTCTTGACATTGTCCAGAGAGCTACCGTGACCCCATGCCCACCTAGAAGGTGGCTTTCCACTCACAGACCACCTCTAAAAGTCCTTCTCATGTGAGTGAAGCAGAGATTGGAAGAAGCTGTGTGGCTGGCTCTTCTTGGCACAGGGACTGGCCAGGTTGAGCCTGCAGTTGGCAGGATTCAGAACCCACACAGGACATGGCGGAAGTCTGAAAAGGCTTAGCTGGGGTGTGGGCTGAGGCCATTGGCTAAATTCTGGTCTTTGCTTTTTGAATTTTTAATGCCGTCCCTGCCTTCCATCTAGCTGGCTATGAAAAAGTTGTCTATGTCATACTTTGTGCCAACTCAAATTACCCTTTGAGGAAACATCCTTGTCTAGACCAAGAGCCTTCACTGCAAGGACAGGACCCTTAATATCCCATCTGCCAAATGGAGAATATCTTTTGGAATCACAGAACGTTAGAACTGAGGACGTTGACAATAGCCAAATTATGGAAAGAGCCTAAATGTCCATCAACTGATGAATGGATAAAGAAATTGTGGTTTATATACACAATGGAATACTACGTGGCAATGAGAAAAAATGAAATATGGCCTTTTGTAGCAACGTGGATGGAACTGGAGAGTGTGATGCTAAGTGAAATAAGCCATACAGAGAAAGACAGATACCATATGGTTTCACTCTTATGTGGATCCTGAGAAACTTAACAGGAACCCATGGGGGAGGGGAAGGAAAAAAAAAAA